GTGGTTGTTGGAAGGTAAAAACTTTCCCCCATTTGATTCTAAGCTACGAATTCATTCTTTTATTCCAATGAGTTATAGTGTAAGATAAATATTGCATCTGGTTTCAGAAAGGAGCTGCGCATTGTTGGTGAGATGAACCAGTATTTCTCTGCAGGGCCGTTAGCTTTTAAAATTTTTGCATCTAATGTACACACACAGTTACGATCATTGTCATCTTATTCACACCGCAATATATATTTGTGGTAGGAATATTCGCGGCACTTGGGAATAAGCCTGAATCGAATCAAAAGAGAAAAGAAAAGGGTGTCAGAGAAGGGACGAATGAGATGCTCTGTATGATATGTGCAACTTTGATAAATCATAGTTTTGATTAAATAATGTGAGGCACCATTAGATGTAAATTTTGTCATCGCCCTAATGCGCATGCCCATTAGATGCACTTTCTGATTGGTTCAGATCAATCGGTAGAACGATAGCTATAAACAGTTAGAATTTAGACTCATCTCCCCAACAACTCAATCAAGCAAGGAGCTGCTCAAAGTTCCGTTGCTTTACTTCAACAAAATAGATACTCATCCAAAACCCAATGTCCAGCAGTGGACAAGGCTTTAAGCCGTGTTGCCAAAGTATAACATTTCTCGTCAAAGTTTAAATGGTCTTTCTGAACACAAAAGCCATTAAATGCGGATTAGTACGTTTACTCTCGCTGCCCGTTTCACGTATCTGGTGGTTAGCTTATCTTGACAAGACATGGCAGGTCATAGTAATATTTCAAATTAGCAGTTACGGCGAGAAACCAGCCTGGTGAAGTACACTGCTTACATGTATACGTATCGCCAGGAAAGATTTAAGCGGTCAAATCCCTAGTTAAATATAAGTAATGAGACCATATATGAGTTTAAAAGAGTATGATGATAGTAGTTGTAACGGCCAGCTTTTTCTCATGTTTCAACCAAAATAACTAGAGCCTGGCGCTGCCATAGTCTTCTACATGGACCGTCTGCTTTTCGTCAGATAGATGTGCTCTACACGATCTAGAAGTTGCAAATTGCTATGTTGCTCAAATTTTTGGCTTCACAATTCTGCTCTAATTCTTTCTTAGCAATGCAGTTTTGAAGTGTTAATAGCAAAGGTATTAAGCTAAGAAACAACCCGAGTTTTAAATGCAATGACAGTTATATCGTTCGATCGCATACAAAAGCCGTGCGTTGCCGACTCAATGTCAGCGGTAAAATACCGAATATATGCGCTGCCACCAGATCATAAAAATTAATGGGTTCAGGATATGTGCAGGGCCGGCGAAACGTATTTGAAAGTGGAGGGGCCAAAATATCAAAGTCTTGAAAGGGCTTAGGAAGGCCGCCACCATGGTTGGCGGCAAGAAAAATTTCAGAATTGTGGTGTCTTAGGGATGGTCAGAAACTGTATCTAAAATGAGTTTTGACTGAAGGTGTCACATAGTCGCGTCTGTTGTGACGTTGACTTGAAATAGAAAGGTTTTGCAAAGTTTAAAAATAACCATTATCATATGGCTCGTAATGAACCCTTTTTGTTAGATTTTAAAAGTACCCGAAATAGAATGGGGGCGGGGGGGGGGGGAATAAATGAAACACGGATAAATAAAAAAATTAACGTTGAAATATCAACAGAAGAACTATCAGCTAAAAATAAAAAGTTAAGCAGTTTTGTACAGTTAAGATATAACTTTGTAAAATCTGATCTTAACTTTTTCGGAAATTAAGTGTTTTAACAAAAATTTGAAAAACCTTCAAACTGGGCTTGACAAAACGAGTTTAAATACAATTTATAATTGCGTCGATATTTTCTCTTTCTTGGTAGGAATGGATTATCGAAACGATCAAACTCTTAAGTTTTCTTGATGATACTTTTTAAGAGCCAATCTGCCCATACTTTATTTCTCGTATCCTCAGAAAAGTTCTTTCCAGCTGTTTCTTTTCCTTCAACAGCTGATTTCTATCTTTTTGTAATATTTCTGAGAAATTTAACATCCGCTAACAAATAAACCTTGTGTGCCAAGTTTAGAGAATGGAAATAACGAAACTCCCTCAATTTGTGCTGGCACCAAGTTATTCTGGACTAGTAGACCAGAGGTGAGAGGGGGAGCATTATCACCTGAACTGGCAATTAACCAGACTAACTTTTTCTGACTCAACTTTTTGTGTAGATTACGAATCCGGATGTTGCTTTGGCGTTTAGGGGGGCGTTTTCTAGATATAGGGGGTCAAAGCCCAAAAACACGCGATTTGAGCTAATTTGACTGTTTTCTGCTATCACACTTTAAAAATTGGTAATTTTTGTTATTATCTGGTGATGTAGTAATCTTATGAAAACGAAAAGACAGTGATGATAGTTTCAAATTACGTATGTTCTTGAAATATAAGAAGTTTTGAAAACTTGTTGTTCAACATCGTTCAAAGAAAAGGGATCCGTTGATATAGACAAAGCTCTTACTAATCCTCTTGCCCTTGCAACAACTGAAGATACAGATGCCAAACAGCCAAGAGTATGCTACTACATACTGCATTAAAATCAATCATAGTACCAAAAAACCCGCTGCCAAAAATTAATCTGGAAAAGAAATCGGTGAAATTTCGGTGAGAACTTGAAAAATCTTCGGAGTAAAGAATTGGAAAACTTTCTGTAAGTTATTTTTACCTTCAACATAGAATTATCTGGAACACAATCATAAAAATTGCAAAAATCGAATACTTTGATGCATACAAAGAGACAGTTGAACTATCAATGTAAGGAAAATTTTAAATCACTGGGACATAATTTCAAAAGATAAAGAGATAGCATTAAAAAGCTTAAAAAATATTTGAGATCTAATAACCCCCACACACATTGGGACACATGGATAACACCCCTCCCCCAAGAGTTCTGAATCTGTTCTCAGCAAATTCGACATTTTTGGTGCTTACTCAGCAAACTTGGTGGTGGCGTTAGTTAAATAAATAAATAATAGTCGATGGTATATTTGATTGTTTTCATTTTCATCTCGATTTGTTCCTCTTCGCTCCTTGGCGCGTTAATATTTCAGCCGTTAATTTGCAAACTGAAACCACTGGGAGCTAAACTCCACATTACAATTTTTCAGCGTTGGTTGCGCGAATGATGAGAATGACTGCCAGAAAATCGATTAAAACAGTCAAATAGCGTTCCACCCGCGGATATTTACTTTAAGAATAAGACTGTATTGTAAAGTAGTAAAAATGTCTTTAATGAGTGAATTTTCCAGCAAACTGGAAGCATCAAAGTTCGAAAATTTCCCCGACCTTTTGCAACCAGGGTGCCGTCTCAGGTACTAACTTTCGTGTAATGGTTCCTATTCTGTTTAATGATCAAATGACGTCTTTTTTTATTACTCAGAAAAGTTTACAGCGTTGTGAAGATAAAAAAATCGTGGAAAAAGAACTTTCTCAACATATGTCTTTTGTCTTTTTAGGGATATTTTGTTATAAAGGCGAGTTTCCCACAAAAGAATATTAATCACGCTCTAAGTAGCTGTTCTTTCTTGTATGTTATATTCATGTCCTGTCATAATCTTAATGATTGTGCGTCTTTTTGCAATTGGGATTCCATGCTTTCTCTCCAATTGCATAGCCCCCTATCGGAAGGTCAAGCCCCTCCGTCGGAGAATTTCTAGCGCCACAATAAGTAGTCTCAACTCAACGATCGAGTAATATACTTTGCAAGTAAAAAATCTTGTGTTAATATTGAGAGCAAAGGGGTAACTCAGGTGGGAAAGCAGGTACCAAAATCTGCTACCTACTCCACCATGCCCTACGGATGAATAATGGACAGGAGACAGTTTGCATTGTGCGCTCTGGAGATGTTCATATTCTTGTTATCCTTTTAGCCAACGAGGCTGAAAACTTGCATTTCTTTATGTAGTACGGAAGAGGAAAATACAGGAGACTACTAGGTCTAAATGCTTTTGCGCTATCTTTATTGCGGAAGCAAGCGCTCCTTGGCCTGCATGCATTTTCAGGAAATTTCTACATCTCATCCTTCTTGCAAAAGGAAAGCCTGCATTTTTGAAACGCTTTTTGGTGAAGAATTCAAAATAACGTTCTCAGAGCTTGACAAGAAAAATTGTTACTCGTAGTAATTTGTTACTCGGCTTAGAAAGGTTTGTTTGCACACTGTATGGAGAGAAACGATTGCTGTCATTGAATGAAGCAAGATATGCTATATTCTGGTGGACCTTTCAAAAGGAAAACAAAGTAACTGGTCGGTCACTGCTGCCCCCATGTAAAAGCAGCCTCGAAAAACACTTAAAGCGTGCAAACTTTTTAGCAAGGGTATAGAGACAATCTTGACAAAGCATAATCAACAAAGAAGAACCAGCCAATCACGGCTGGTTAGATGATCTGTTAATTGATTGGTTCAGGGAGCCCTACTATACTATCCTGAGAACATTGCGGAGCTATTGTTTGCAAGCGAAGAAAAATAAAGCGAATCAGAAGGAGAAGGCGAATTTAAACTAAACGCTTTAAGAATACAGTAATAGTGAAATTCCCCTTCCCTGTAATTGCCTGCCCCCCCCCCCATTAACCATCAATGCCAGAAAAGGCCAGATTTGACAGAGCATTGATCAAGAAACCAATTATTAATAAAATTAAACATTTCCTAAAGTGCAATAATTAAATACAGTCAAATTAGGTCACATCGCGTTTTTTTGGGCTTTGACCCCTATATCTAGAAAACGCCCCCCTAAACGCCAAAGCAACATCCGGATTCGTAATCTACGCAAAAAGTTGAGTCATAAAAAGTTAGTCTGGTTAATTGCCAGCTCAGGTGATAATACTCCCCCTCTCACCTCTGGTCTATAGGTTTCTCGATCTATTTGCTAAGCCAAGCGGTCACTCATTATAAAATTTAGACAATGACCGATATCTTGGATCTAATTCCCATATTCAATTTTATGTATGTCCTCTATGGTAAAGACATAGCAACCAAGACAAAGCGAAGGACACATTTAAGAGAATACTAGGCAAAGTTACTTACAGAATCATATACTATATTAATTTTCACTTTTGCCTAAAATTTTTCTTTAGCTCTGCAGAAAAGTGGGGGAAGGGGGGCATGGCCCCAGCCCCCCAGTTTCGTCGGCCCTGATATGTCATACCGTCTCACGGCAAAACTGAACACGTTATACTAGAAAACGTGATTATTTCTGCTATTGATATGACAGAATTTCTCTGAAGAGTTCCCGATATCATACTTCAAGTAATAAGTATTACAATATAACAACAGAATGAAGATGAGGGTTAAACGTAGAACACCAGTGAGTAACAAGTCTAAATTTCAAATTTACGATATTACATTCAAGTTTAAATATTAACATAAACACAACAGTGTCGCATAAAGAGATCGATGTTTTCTAAATAATCGCTATTTGTCGATGAAATGCATATGATTATCATTAAAGATGGTCTTTTTACTGATAAGCAAAAAAAATTATTTCTTTACAGTCCAAAGTATAACAATGCTCAACATAATTTTTGTTATATACAACATACAGGCGCTGTTATAATATCATTAAGGCAATGCAAACAGTTCTGCACAGAAAACCCCAAATTAAAAACTTTAAAAAGGCTTGATGGCCTAAAACGACTTGTCTTTAGCTATACAAAAGCAAACGATAATTCACAAGCGGGTCCCTCATATTCATGTCAAACAGGTTAACAGGGCATTCGCTTAGGTCATCGTGCAAATTTATTATACCCTTTAGAATCATTGCTGCGGGCAGGCGCGCGGAGGTTCGCCGGGGCCTGGGACCCATGATGACGTCATTAAAACTGTGATTGTTATTGTTGTTTTTATTGTTCAGAAATCGGCTAAAACTTTTTGGAGCCTTGTCACTCTGCCCTTGGTACGGCTGGCTTCAACTTTAATAACATGAGCTTTATAAACAAGAAGATTCGTTACTTCTACAAAAACTGACATCGGAACCTTCCGAAAATGGCATTTTCAATAATTTTTAAATGAACTGCATTGTATAGAATGTCCTGCGAAAATTAACAATCTGAAATAGCTGGTAATATGTGATGCTGGGCTCTCCGTAACACATTGCGTGGACCTTTTCAGAAAAATCCAGACACTGTCTTTGAAAATTGTTGCATGCACAATTCATATACAAGCATAGTCACCTTCACTGGTTGCTAAGGAATTTCAACATCGGACATTTTATTACAACACTAAGGCTGCAGACAATCTTTAATACCCTATTTATCCAGACCAAACCAACATACTTCTGCTACTTCTTCCTTTTTCTGTCTTTGACAGCATTTTGTTTTTCTTGGGGATTCTAACTTGAATACAATAAACAGGGAATTTTGTAGAAAAAACTAGCAAACTTCCTAACCTCAAATTCTATTTTACACATCAACTAAATCGACCATGGAGATTTCAAATCCAAAATGGGCCAAAAAATTTTTACACCGGAAGTTACTTGTTTTTGTCTTCATAAATTGATACAATTTTTTTGAAAATCAGCCAAAGACTCGGCCTCAACTTTTATTGCATTTTTCCATTAAATAAACTATGCAGATTCAAAATCCAAGATTGAATGGAAAATATTTTGAACAGAATTCAAATTTTTTGATGACGTCATCAACTTTGGTTTGGAAAATTCATTTTGAACCACATTAATTGTCTTATCGCAAATATTTTTGTCAACAAAGTTCCATATTTGCATAGCACATATTCAGTGCTTTTGAGAATGTATAAAATTACTATTTTTCTTACTTCTAATCGCTTTTTTGCATGACACTACCATCATTTTATGACGTCATAATCCTTGACAGGTAATTGGAAATCATGGATAAGTGAGCCTAAAGGTGTTTAAATAGAAGAAAATAACAGGACAGAAGTAAATTTTGTTGAATAGGAAGCGCAATGGTCAAGTCTTTGGCTGATTTTTAAAGAATTTGTATAAACTTTCGATGATGTCATCAAAAACAAGTAATTTCCCGTGCAAATCTAAGATTTGAAATCTCCATGGTCGATTTAGATGGTGTGTGAAATAAAATTTGAGGTTAGGCAGTTTGTTAGTTTTTTCCACGAAATTCCCTTTCTACAAGGTCTAAGTTGTATATTAAAATGCTTGCTTACTGTACTGTTTTCGCAATTACCAAGAACAATGTGGTTTTCTTCAATGAAAATTGTTGCGTTTTATGCCGAAAAAATTTGACCAATAGGAAGCATCTGACCAATAAGATTAAAACGAGAATTGCTATTTGACGTGAAATTAAGCAATATAGGCGTCCTATAATTTTAAGTTTACAATTTTGCCTGCATTGCCTTTCGTCGAGTTGACTTCTAACCTACTTTGATTCAGGGGGTTTCCGTGTCTTCCTTTCTTTGACCCGTCTGTTTTGAAACCAGGTTTTAATCTGCTTTTCACTCAAATTCAACGAGTAGGCGATCTCTATCCGCCGCCGCCTTGAAATATATTGGCAGTTGGTGAACTCTCGTTCCAGTTCCCTCGTTTGATGGGATGTAAAAGAGGGTCGACTTCTCATCGTTGGATCTGAAAGAAGGTATTAAAATGCAGTTCGGTCATGCGGCACACTACCATTTTCTTAATGCAAATAATATTTCAGAAAAATGTTCTTCTTAGCCTCCAATAAGTTCCAATTTCTCAGACAATTAAATACTTTGTGACCAATACACCTACAGCGATATTAAATTTCCAGACGTTTCCGCCTTTCCACAGAAAAACAATGAAATAAGGGGGTTGGGGCGGTCTATTTCCTTTTGTTTTATTTGGTTTTTCTCAACGTTGCTGAGAGAGCAAAACTAAACTTTGGGCTCTTCACAATGTATAGAAGAACATATTGCTTTTTCAATCTAAACAATTATAATTTTCTAATATTGTCTGGTATAAAAACTTGCTTACATCTTGCTTGCTTACATGGCTGAAAAATTTTCATGGCGTGATTTGCCCTTGGGTGCTGGGTCTTTCAATTCCACCTTTTCTAAAAATATATTTTCTCATTGCAAGCAATGTCGTGATCCTATATATGGTGCATCGCAGGTGTTAATGACAGGGGTTTTGTGGACGTTGCCACCCAGTCTTTGCAAAGCCATTCATCAAAATGTCCAGGAAGGGCGCAGATCCTTGCCACTGAGAAATGCGACTGCTCGCAGCGTGCTAGGCCCATTCGCGCAACATAAATCACTGGCACCAACCATCAATGACAACTGGATCCTTTGTATAATTAATGTATTTTCGCAAGGGTGGCCTATTCATATGAAAACATAATCAATCTTAACTTGCTTTTTTGCCATTCTGTCATAAGTTTACATGTAACCTTACTAATACGAATATAAAAACATCACTTGATGACATCACTTCATTTATAGCGCTTTTGATACTGAATGCCCTCGTCACTTTGTTGTTATATTGAAGCATGGAGTTTTCATACTGGCCAAAGGTCTTATTCCATGTTTTAGAATTTGATTACGAAAGACTTTTGAATTTTTATTTGAAGAACTCGTGAGACGTTTGAAGAAGTGCTATTGTTTGGGTCTAAATTTTTTGACAACAAGGTAATCACATAATTTTACCAAAACGTACAGGAAGAAAACAAAGCTTGTAGAAAGAAAGCTTTTTACAACTTAAAGAAACTTCTTGCTCCGTGCAATCGGAAAAAGATAGGTGAAAAGATTCCCAAGCCAAACAATTGTGCGAATGGAAGCGGACACAAAAGTTTGGGCATTAAGCTATACGTTTTTTCTACAAGGAACTTAGCTCGGGGCCTAGTTCTTGAATTTTCTAATTTTTGGACCTTTTTTGATCAAATTGTGGTACTAAAATACATTTTCGCAACACCCTCGCTACATTTTAACTACATTTGCTTTTATTGAAAAGACTGAGGGGCAGGAAAATAGACAGTAAATCCGAAGAAAAAAATAGACAGCAAATCGGAAAATTACACAATAAAACACACGATAGCGATCTTTGAAAGACAAAATGATCTTCGAAAGACAATCTCCAAATGAGTGGAACCAGCTTCCTAATTTTGACAGTTCGCAATGATAAAAATATTCAAAATCGAAAATTTCCTTAGGGATTTGTTTTTAGCAGCAACGGTTCATTAATTTGTTCCGCCTTCTACATGTACATTCTTTTCTTTTTATAAGAACCAGCAAATTTAAGTTCAAGCTGACTGTCCTTAGGTTTTCGAAAATCCGAGGCTGGATTGTTCCTAATCTGTTTTTAAATTAATGGTGTTTAAGCAGTGCGTTTGCTAGTTTTTTTGCTTAATGTTCAGGCCTCATTTTTCAACAAAGTGAGTGAGACAACGTTCATTTGCCGTAAAGTTTTAATATTTACCCACACATTGCTAAAAATCATGATTTTAAAAATAAAACGTTGTTCAAAATTGCATTTTACAGTAGCTCAGTCTCAGCTTGTTCTTGATTTATTCTTAACTTTTGATCAATTTCGAGGCTTTTGTTCTTATAAAAAAGAGAGTGTAAATTCCTTATAAAGTGGTTTCAAATATGAAAAAGCGTGCTCTCCATTCCGCATCATCAGACAATGAGTCATTTCTTAAAGACACCCACCGCCACGCACATTGTAAAAATCTATTTAAAAACTGATGGTTAAGGCCGTTTTCCACTAGGCGAATTTATTCGCGCGAAGCGACTTTTTTCGAGCATACGCATGCGTATTTACATTCTCGCACAAGAGCTCATTCGCGGCGACTGTTCGCAGCAGCGAAAAAGTGAGTTCGAATGGATTCAACTTTTTCGCGGCGAAGAAAGGCGCAAGCCAATTAATTTGCTGGAAGCCTGTCATGTGACATCCATGACCAAAAGTCGCGCCAAAACAACAGCAGCAGGAAGAAAACATGGCTGCAATGACACTGAATCTCTTAGAACAAATGATGGCAAATGGAGACATAACTGTGGCTGACCTTGCCAGTTTAGCAAATACCAACAGTCAACAGGAACTCTACAACCACGAAGACAATGCTGCCACGCCAGGCTCCGTTGATGAGACAGGTTTTGAGGAGACAGAGACGATCGTCTCTGTTGTCACCACCACCCCCGAGAACAACCTACAAGGCCTAGACCAGTACAATGGCGAAGAACTACTTGCAGCCGAATTCGACAAAGAAGTATTTTTGGAAGAAGTCCGCAAGTACAGATGTTTGTGGGATATTGCTTCCGAAGGATACAAAATTAGGCCCATGAAGCAAAACGCATGGTCAAAAATAGGCCAGTTATTCAACAAGGACGGTGAGTTCACACCTTTTTTTTATATTCTCATAAAATTTACAACGACAATCAATTACAATACACAAGCCTAGGGAGCAAGGAAATGCATACCAACCCTAAGACCTACACTTAACATAGAGACACAAATATTACAATAATAAGCTACAGAAGTGATTGGAGTGGTGTCGCCCATCGTTCCAATAGCGTTGCAGATATGACAAATACTCACAAAAAGCTATTTTAAAAGGAGATATCAAGTTTACCTATGTTCCTTGCTAATCAAACAAATTTGCGCCCAGACATGATGAGCAACACCACTCCAATCGTAAAAGGAATAAAATTTATACAGTTCGAGAAAATAATTTACACGAGAGAGGTTTTCGCAGCTTGTGGTTTTCTTTTTGTCCCTCAAACTGATAACTCTCATAATAATAATCTAATAATTCTAAGAGACTTTCTGTGCTGGACAAAATTCTTAGTTTGATGATATCTTTTAGAATCTTGTAAATAATATTATTTGATTTCTTTTTTTGTAGTGGAATTTCTTCAGAGGCATCTAAAAAATCTAAAGGACAACCTGAAAAAATGTTTGGACAAGAGGAACCGGATGACTAGGTCTGGTGCTGCTGCAAGTTCATTGCCTAAATGCAAGTACTTTGAACAAATGAGATTTCTGCATGAAAAAACAGCAAACAGGCCCACAGAAAGCAACATTATTCAAGCTGAAACAGCTTTGCAGTCTGAAGATGTTTTGGACGGCCCATTAGCCCCTCAGATATCAGTAAGGCCAGTTGTTCTGAGTGGTACAAAAAGGAAGGCAAGTGACACACCATCCTCTTGTGGTAGTCAAGGGTATAAGAATCGTCAAGAAAGATTTGATAATGCAATCCTGAAAGAATTGGAATCCACAAATAATGCAATCAAGTCAGTTGTCACTACTGATAATGAGGATGAAGTTTCTCTGTATTGCAAAAGCATCATTCCAATAATATCATCTTTTTCAATTAAAAAGAAACGATTAGCTATGATCAAAGTCAGCCAACTGTTGTTTGAACTTGAGTTTGAACATGAATAATATTATGTAAGTTTAACTTATTATGGATATGTAACATTTTTATTTTGATGTCTATACACATTTGTAATTCTGTTCTTACTTGCTTCATTCTTTTATTGTCTGTCCTGAAACCACTCATGTGGATTTGCAGTTCGACTAACCAATTCATTTTGCCATTCAACTGCGCCCTCGTTGATAAAGTAGTTTTTATATCCATGTCTTACAGAAGCTGCATCTTTAGAGTAGTTATTTGAACCACTTTGAGAAATTGGTCGAAGGCTACCAAAATCAGCTCTGTTTTGTCTCCATTCACCAGCCTCAAACCCTGATGGTCCATCATGGTCAACAAAGTTTCTTGGGCAATATCGATTGTTTGTTGATGAATTTTTAAACATCAGTAGATTGTGCAGTGCAACAATAGCTTTTGTGATAAGTATTACTTTGCTTACATTGGCAATGATTGGTCTTCTCAATACTCGAAATCTACTGGCAGCAATCCCGAAAGTGTTTTCAATCACCCTCCTTGCCATTGATAACCGATAATTAAAGACACGTTGATCAAATGACAAATTATGTGATGGGAAGGGCTTCATCATATGTGTTTTGAGTCCAAATGCATCGTCCGCAACAAATACAAATGGAAGTCGTTTTTCTGAGTTGGGCAGCTTTGCAGGTCCAGGGATTTGCAATAGATTATTTTCAATAGCATAACCTAAATTACTACAATTATACACACTTCCATCACTCTGGCGACCACTATCTCCTATATCCACCAGAGTGAACTTATATCTTGCATCGCAAATTGCCAAAAGGGCAATGCTAAAAGTTTTTTTGTAATTAAAAAAGGAAGATCCTGATTTTGCTGGTGCTTGCATGACCACATGTTTCCCATCAAGGGCTCCCAAGCAATTCGGAAAATTCCAAAATCTTGAAAATTCTTCGGCTATAGATTTCCATTCCAGTTCTGTTGATGGGTTTTTGATGAAGCCTTTTGCGCTGAGTACTTTCCATACAACTTCACAAGTCTCACTGATTATTCTCCCAACAACTGTGGGACTCATACGGAAGCTTGCTGATATCGTTACTTGGGCATCACCCGTCACCAGGTATCTTAAACAAACAGACAATCTTTCACTTGGTTGGATAGCTTTCCTCATTTTCGTATCGTTTTTCTGAAGAAACGGGCCAAACCAATTCAGGAGCTCTTCAAACAGTGTAGGAGTCATTCTAAAACACCTGAAAAAATATTCAGCATCGTGTAGTCTCAGTTCTTTGATCAAAAGATGATACTCGCCCTTCCGCTCCCGTTCTTCATAGATCTTCCTTATCCAAAACCTTTTCTTGTACTTTTGCAACCTTCTCTCGCGTCTTCTTAGCAGCAAAATTTTGATCAATAATCGAGCTTTCAGTAGCAGTAGATACCTGAGATTAACAGCGGCCATCTTTGAAAAGCTTTTCGCACCAAAAAACCAAAACTCGCTGGAGCTTCTGTGGAAAACAAAAACGCGTTCGATCGATTTTTTTCGCCGCGAAAAATTCGCTTCGCGCGAATAAATTCGCCTAGTGGAAAACGGCCTTTAGTAGAGCAAAGTAGCAGCCATCATTATTACGTCATCGCATCATTAACAATAACAACATTGACTGTTGTATCGTGTAGCTTGAAGCAGTGTCCATCAAACTTTAAAGAAGTTAATTCAAGAAAGTGCTGGAACACTTGACCTGCAAACAACTGATTGATGAATCCTCTGTTTTGGCTCAAGTTTATACTTCGCTCAGATTGGTTCGTGAGTTGTCCTGGATAGAAGCTATAGAATTATAGACAGCAATATCGCCTTAAAAATGTTAAACTTTAAGTTAAGTAATCATATTTTGTCAACATTGTAAGAGGTGTTTCGTAATTTGCATCTGGTCCCTCCTTGCCACGTAATCAACTGTCTATGTCCATCTGAAACCGCATAGTCTAAAGACAAAGAATTCACATCAATTTCCGACAACCCTCCTACAGCAAAATGGGCAGAAAAAGTGACCCAATGCGAAAGTATTTCGAAGCAATCATCGACATTGGCCCTTCACATCAGCAACCTTAAGTTAGCAGAGGCCAACCAAATCTTGCTCGCTAATTGGCCTAATTCTGTGGTCATTTGACTATACCTTAAATCCTTGTGTAAGTCCCCTCGAATTAGATCCAAGCCCGATTCCGACCCGTAAATCAAAATGTTCAATTAACTCCCATCCTGAGATCCGGACATGTCAGTTTTTACATGGAAGCCCCCGTCCAGATATGTCTGTTTTTACAAAACATAATTTTAGTCACAAAATTAGTCCACCATAAAACACGCCAAAGAACTAAACATTCCTCAGGAAATTGAAAACATAAACAATGATTTAAAAATAATTCATTTTCTTATTCGCTCTAAGAGAACTTGATAAAATTAAGAAAGCTTTAAAGACAGATACACGCATTTTCTTAAAATAAACAGGCTGAAAGAAACGGTAGGCTCAATTTCTTCGAAAGTTAAGAAACAACCCTACCCAAATTGAAAAAAGCTAAGAAACTTTCATAATTTGCAGTTTTAACTTTCCGAGTTGACACTCGAAACAGTCTTGACATTGAACATCACTGCATATTGCAACACAACATCTAACATGCAGTTTGCATACATTCTCAGTAAATTGCACACTCAAGAAGTTTCCATTTGAAAGTTAGTTGATCTCTGAATCTGAGTGAACTATTTACTTTACCTTGAAAGCATGTTGAAAAAATTCATTACCTAAGAAATTTAGGAAAACATGTAAGAAACTTTTGATAGCAAAATTGCCAGAAAATTTAAGAAACTGCCTACCAGCACCGGAGCTTAGTTTCTTAATAAAAAATACGTGTATACAATACTAGCCCCAACTTATAACATGGGGCAAATCATTTACCAATCTTAAGGCCAGTCACATTATTAGCAGCCATAAAAAATGTTCCAAATTAATGAGATCCAGGGAACTAATTTGTTGATTTACGAAACGTGTAGTTAATTTACTCCAGAACACTAAAGTACTTTTTGATAGAACATTAAAGTACTTGCGTTGATTGACGTGTTCTTCTGTGTGGTAGACTTTTGAGCATTTTCTCATTTAAAGAATCTTTGTCTATGGTCTTACCAAGAAAAATTAATTCTTGACCACTGGCAAAAAGCGTGATTCGGTGGATTAACAGTGAGTGTCTAGCTAGGGCTGTCGAGAGCCAGCTGGGGTGCGGGAGGCATACCCTCAGTTAGATATGGTATACACAGTATGCTGCAAGGGTAAACAATTTGAACGGGTTTCACTTTTGGTTAAAGTCCCCTCTCGACGTACCTGAATACATTGATGGGAACATTTCAAAGGAAGATTTTCTTTCAAAGGAGATTTCATGGCCATTAGCCTGAGGTCAAATGCAAATGGGATAATTAAGAACAGTAACAGTAATAAGAAAATTCTACAGGACACGATCAATGGGAATCTTACATTCTCCTCTCGAACTTTCAGGCCTTTGTTTTTAGAGAGAAAATGATACCCTATTTCTTAGACAAAGAAATGTCATTGTGGTCAGTAGAGCCACTGCCCTCATTAACACATTCAGTAGGACCAGGGTTTTCTTTCTGATTTTTCCATTTCTGCCTGCTTTCATTACCTTCCCTTCTTACTTCTATAAGAAACATTTTTGCAGGATAACAAATCCGTTCCGTTGCTTTTAGTTGATTTTAGTACTGAAAGATTACCAAGTGCCAGAGAGCTGCTTTTTAGAACGAAAAATAGAACATAAATGCATCAAAACATGAATAAATAGAGCAGGACGCTAATTAGTGCCAAAGATCTTTTCTTTCTAACATCTCTATCGATAGAACCAAAATTATGTACCTTATTGGCTAAGGAATCATCAAATCCGATCTCTCAAAGAATCATTTTCGAACTGTTTTTAAGGCTGAGGATGATCAGTACTAAGGCTTATCAACTAACAGAAGGTTTACTATAAGACGATTGTGTCTGTCCTTAAATGAGTTGACTCCATAAATAGGTCTATTAACGATCATGCTAATATGAGGATGCATTTGCAAAATTTACGTCATGCATACAGTGTATTAATCTTCTGGTAATACTTTGACTATCAAAACAAAAGTACGATGTTTCTTCTCAAATTTTTTCATTGGAATTTTGAACAAAAAGTTTCAACAAAATTGCAACATTTCTACGTTTGCTCCATTCAAGTCGGTTTGTGAGTTTGAAATGAACCTTGATAGCATCGAAGATTCCAAAAAGGTATGTATGCCAAAAGTAAGATAAAGTGCATACAAGCTAGAAATAAAAAGTGGAAGATTCCAAAAAGACTCCTTGTGCCGGAAGATACTGCAGATATTACATTGCACTCTTGCATCTAGCGATGTAACCAAGCACTGAAAATAAAATTACTTGGCTACGTAGTAAAGATAATGCGATATGCTAAAATGTTTCGTCTCTTTTTATCACGAAATGTTTATGAACGAAATGTGCCTTGACCTGTTTAATTGATAGAGTGTTCATATTGTGATTTCTTCATTTATCTTTAATAAAATCTCTAATTGATTTCTCATGTAAAGCACGTTCTAATACTGTAATTTATGTATATGTTGTTCTGTTTTTTCTAAATCTTGTACTTTTTTAAAAAGTTAATTAACTTTTTTAGATCAATAGTATCAGCAAAAGTAGGTAAGACCATTATCACACTGGGCTAGGTACCTTTGGTAATAAAAATTGAAGATGCGTTTTATCGGAAATAAACTCATAGCTGACGTCACGTTCTTCTTCTGCATCGCTCAATTTCAGAGCTTTAAAAGTTTGTTTCTTAGATTCTGAAAGATTCTGAAAGTTTTCGATCGCGTATATGGCTTTATAAGTAATGACCACTTCAACTAGTGCATGTCGCTTTCCAGTTAATAGCCAGCATGCTATGTCAGTGTCTTATGACAGTCAAGCATGGAAATGCATCGTGTCGGGGTCAACTGACCCTTGCCAAA